GAGGAGGCGTTGTAAGTCAGTTATAAATTCCGTCGAGCAAAGGTGGAGGAGGGAATCTAAAACTACGAATCAATTTTCACATGCTTTCTCATAGTGCGTCGTCGAAAATGGTGAGGAGACGCTTTAAACCACCACTCCCTCCTACAGCAGGAAATCCCCCCCCCCTGTTCGCAGCCCGTTAGGGGTTCGTTTTCCCCCCTTTGAGACATGGAGACATTTTTTCGTCGTCCTTCATTATACCGGTCGGGTCGTTTGGTCGTTGGAAGTCTCGAACAATGTAGGAAGGTGCAGGTATGGCACTTTGGGGGGGGGTGTTAGTTTGTCTGAAAAATAAGGGACCGATAGCTGTCGGTGACATTTTTCCCCCTTTGAGACATGGAGACCTTTTTTCGTCGTCCTTCGTTATGCCGGTCGTGTTGTTCGGTCGTTGGAAGGCTCGAAAAATTAGGTTCTGCACGTGTGGCACTTTCGGGGGTGATGGCAGTTTGTCCGAAAAATGAGGGACCGGTAATTGGCGGTTGGACCACTCTTTGGGTTTCGGTCGAAATCGAAACGGTGGCAAAGCAGGGGCAAATAGAAAGGGCGCGCGGGGCCGGGGACAGGGGATGAAAAGTTTGACAAAAGTGCGCAGGCTTGGGCAGTGGTTGAAACGACACTTCCGTCGGATGAAAGTGCTCAGGCTTGGGCAGTGGTTGAACCGACACTTCGGAATTGCACGTCTCTCTTTCTCTCTCTCTCTCTCTCTCTCTCTCTCTCTCTCTCTCTCTCTCTCTCTCTCTCTCTCTCTCTCTCTCTCTCTCTCTCTCTCTATGTTTATCAATCAAGCATATACAAACTACGGGCTGCGCACCCGTGCCCTCATAGTAAGTCAATGAGTTACGGCGGGCTCTTAGGGAGGGCGGCGACCGAAGGCCGAAACGGTAGGCCCAGTCTCGCAATTTGACATCAACAACTTTACCAAATTTTCTCGCTTAGAAGAATTCACAGAAATTCTAAAAATTCGACGGTTCTTACATTCACTCGTGGTTCTTCCAGGAAAAATATCAAAAACATTGAAAAAAATCATTTCGACCTTCAAACAACTGCCGCGCCGATGTGGTGCATGTTCGAGTTATGTTACAATGCCATTCGTGGAAGAGGTTGCCAACAAAGTTGGAGTACCCATTTTCAAACTTGAAAACATTCCGCACATAAGGACTTTGCCACCGTACAGTTTCCACTGTCGCAGATGTGAATCATTGCAATTCTGGTGCATCTTTATCCGTCAATATGGCAGTTGAGCGAGAAATAAAATCAAAGCGCAGGGGTTATGCATCACACATTTTAAAGGTCCCGCATCAGACGTAACATAAAGGCAAGTGAAAACTCACGGCACAGGCGCCAGCAAGTATTATCCGTTGTTAACGATCATTTTTTGCATTGTATTAGATTGATGCTGCATTTCGCGCTCGCGGACGACGAGTGCACATCAAATGTTTTTTTTGCAACCCTTATAGCAACACGTCAAGGCGCCTAGCACCCCTTTCAGCGAGACGTCAAGGCTTCGTGCACCCCTTTTAGCGATATTCACACCTTTTAGCGGAAATAGCAAAAGGCTAAAAGCGAAAGTCGGAAGACGTGAGGAGGCGTTGTAAGGCTGTTATAAATTTCCTAGAGCAAACCTGGAGACTACGTCACACACACATTCAACAAAATGTGTATTCTTGAACTACGAATCAATTCGCACATGCTCTCGCGCAGTGCATCGTCGGAAAAGGTGAGGAGGCGCTTTAAAGCACCACTCCCTCCTACAGCAGCAAACAGCAGCCCCCCCCCCCCCTCAGTGAGTTCCGGCGGGTTCTTAGGGAGGGCGGCGACCAGAGGCCGAAACGGCGGACCCAGTCTCGCAATTTGACAGCGGCAACTTTGGCGATTTTTCGCGCTTAGAAGAATTCACAAAAAATTCTGAAAATTCGAGGGTTCGTAAATTTCCTCATGGTCCTTTCAGGAAAAATATCAAAAATATTTAAAAAAAATGAGTTAGACCTGCAATCAACTGCCGCGTCGATTTGGGGCACGTTCGAGTTCTGCTACAATGCCATTTGCGGGCCAACAGGGAAAGTTGTACAACTTCAGCGGTTTTTTCCGCTCCAAAGAATGCGTCACAGACCCCCAAAATTGGAGGGTCAGTAGTTTTGCTCGTGATTTTTCCATTGATTTTTTTTATTAAATTGATAATCATTGGGACCACGAAGTAAATCGTGGACACGATTCGACATATTTCTAATTTTGCCCTGCTGACGGTTCTCCAGTCTGTACCACGGGCAACCCTAATGAACCTATGCTACCGTTTTCTTGACGTCGGATGGAGTGGTGGTTTAAGTGGGGTAGAAATGAATGCCAGAAAGATGGAGGAGCCAATTTCACTATTGGCAAGACATGACACAAAGGACAATCTTTATCACGATGTATCCTTGTTTTTCGATAAGACAAAAGGTAATTATTGAGGCAAAATATCATTTGTTGCGAACTTGCATAAATGATCAGTCTTCCAGTGACAACGCTGAAGGTAACAATTTTGGGCAATCATCCATTTCGGCGAATGCCGCATATCGGTCCTTGAGCGACAAACAAGGTCGAAGCACAGGGGTCAAGCACACACACATTCTGGCGATAACAAAGTTGATGATCATTTCTGGTGAACTTGCAGCTGTGAACAAATTTCTGGTGACAACACAAAAGGTAATCATTCTAGAAAATTTGTAGATATGAACGGTCTTATCACAAATGGATGGCTTCTAAATTGGGAATATGTTCGCATTTGTCATATGGAAGCAACAATAAGCATTAAGTGGAGACTACGACATGTATTCTGGCGATAACAAAATTAGTGATCATTTACTGTACCACTAAAATTTCTGGAGTCCATAAAACAAAGTCAAGCACACATACAATCAGGCGATAATTGATTTCCGAATCGCGAATAAGTTCGAAATTGTCACATGGAAGCAACAGTCAGTATTCACTAGAGACAAGAAGGAGGGTGGTTGCGGGGAGGAGGGCACAACAGAGGGGGTGAATCGAAAAAATGGGGCGGTACGCGGAGAGGGGGGGTGGGGGTTGCTGGGGGGGGGAGGGGGGGTTCTTTCGGACCGTAAAGTCTCACGTAAGAAAGAGACAAGCACGAAATAATTTGACGACGAAGAAGTAATCTTTGATATTTTTCACCAACATCTTGGTAAACGAGCTCTGAGACAAGCACGAAACAATTCGGATTCCATATGAAATCACTGATGTCTTTCACCAACATCTTGTAAATGAAGCAGAGTATCCAGTCCTACGAGCATGAGTGTAAGGAATGTCCACAAAGGACAAAGATTTCCCATGAGTAACACAGGAGCACAACCTGGAAACGAATAAAGGCGGCACGACGCTACCGCAGTCGTACAGGAAATAAGGAGAAGAACCCGAAAACAAACAAAGGCAATACGAAGGTGGGATATTCACATCCGATATCTAAGCGTCTGCTTAAAAGATATTGCACCACGTGGCTGGGATATTCACATCTGTAAGGAAGTGTCTACTTCACCTAAGCGTCCGCTCCAACCCTATAGTTGATGTTGGCCGGCAAGGAATGAGAACAACCTGAAAACAAATGAAGGTAGCATGGTGTTCGCGGGGTCCTAAAAAACACGGTGCACGAGGCCACGCCATTTGCATCGGGAAAACTAAAAAACCAAGAAAGTCAGAGGCAGTCCCACGTTTGAAGTTGTCAGGTTCGTCGAAATGAAGAACCCTAAAAAATACTGCAGAACGAGGCTGGGATATTCACGTCGACATCTAAGCGTGCACTTGATAGACGCGTCCACTGCAATCCTCCACCTCATGAAAACAACAACACAGTTCGAGCCGCCCGACTGTTAGACTAAGTGGGAATAGATTCGCACTTTTGTTTAGATGACCTTGCGAATAAAAAACGTTGCGCATTTTCAAAACAGGGATATTATTATGAACCTTGGATTATGTTCACCGCCATCCTCAGCCTGATGTTCGGAATGTCGCTTTGGCCTATCGAAAATGGAGGTGAATGACCGCGTGCCAAGAACGAAGCAAAGGCGAGCATGAAAACACCGCAGCTCAATCCGTCCGACTGTTGAGGGACACCATGAACAACCACCTTGGGCTCCGGCAGATCCAGTTTCGTGTCTTGACCAAAATGACGAACTGCTGCGTCGCAGAGGTATTTCGTGAAGTTCGCAAGCACACCGGAAGAAAAACCATCATCGTCTTGCAGGAGGGAGTCGCAATACTCCAGCCCTCTGTCGCGAACGCATAATAGGGTCCAGTGCACTCGATTTTTATGCACAGGAATGATCAGCAAATCGTACGAAAAAATGTTGACATCTTTTGTCCATCTCGCAACCCTATCATGTCGACATCCCTCGTCGACGAGCTTCGTATAGAAAAACGGACTGAAAATATAAACAGAGGGACACACCGGCAACGTAGCATTGCCAACCAAGGCCAAGTAGGACTCCACCACCTCGTCGTAAAGCCACCCCCCCTTAACAAGAGTCTGAAGATTTTTTCTGCTCAACACAATAAAACTGGTCCCTTTGCGAATCGAGGAAACCACCTCGTGGCCGTTGCGGAAATCCCCGCAGACCTCCTGCAGCATTCTCAAGTCTGCACCGCTAAGCTCCTCAGTAGGCAATGGCACGCGAAAAGATGATGTAGCCGCAGCTGCACAAACACCCAAAAACAAGTGTGAGGAGCCGCCAAAACCACCGGGGCGTCCTGAAGAGGACAAGCGTGATGCGCACTGCGGCGAGGACTGTCCTCAACGTCATGAAACAGAGTCCTCGCAGACAATTATGAATCTACTCGCACTTCAGAAGGCCCTACAGTGGCCTCGTATCCCGTGTTGGAATCTCGACTCCCTTCGCAGTGGCTTTCACCTCCACCCGACCCGACTTCCCGCTGCGCAGCATGCGCTTCCTGTGAGAATTCCCCTTTTCCCCGAGGTGGTGCACTCTTGCTCTCTAAGTCGACGGACGCACGCTCCAAAGGATGACATAGACGCCCGCTAGCCCCGGTCTCCAACACTCCTGTGCGGCCAGTGTTCAGTCTCCTCTTCCCGGTGCACAACATGTGCGTACTGTGACAGCTCCTCTTCCCCCGGATCGGCTGCACTCTTGCTCTCGAAATCGATGGAAGCACCCTTCGAATCGTAGCGATCATACTCGCTAGGCGTGGTCTCCAACACTTCTGCAGCGGGCCCCTCCAACACTTTGCGCTCGCTGGCGTCGTGAAATAAAGTCCTCGCAAACAAGTGCAAATGTACTCGCACTTGATAAGACCTCAGGGCCGCCTTGTCTCGCATGCCCGAGTCTCGACTCCCTTCGCAGCGGCTTTCAGTTCCGCTAGACTCGTGACTCCCGAACGCTCTACGCTTTCCGCCCAGCCCCTTTCCGTCCGACCCTTTTCCGCTTGGCCCCGTTCCGCCCGACCCCTTTCCGCCCGACCCCTTTCCGCCCGACCCCTTTCCGCCCGACCCCTTTCCGCCCGACCCTTTTCCGCCGGAGCCCTTTGGTTCCAACGACATTTCGTCTAGCCCCTTCCCCTTTGCTTCGTCAACACCAGATCCTGAGCCGTCTCCTCCGTCACCTGCTCCACCGGGTCCTGAGCCGTCTCCTCCATCACCTCGCCCACCGCCTCCCGGATGCTGACCACCCGACGGAGGTTGCGGCATGCGTCAGTCAATGCCACGAGACGGTGTCGTCTCCAGTGCATAGAAAGGCACTCGAAACTCCAATATTTTGTTGGCGTACAGGTCATCTAGCTTTTGGCCTGCATACGCATTGACGTCCGGCAGGCTCCTGTCGGGGTTCATAACCCTCAAACGCTCCACCAGAGCTTCTCTTGCCTTTTTCTTAAGTGGAGCCGCTCCCAATGTGTTCATGCCACTCCACTTGCCATCAGCTTCCTTCATTGTCATGACCCACTTTCCGGTCTTTACAGCAGGTTGGAATTTCCTGGGGTGCCAGACGACGTTGTGGCCCCGGACATCCTCCGGCGTGAACCGGTGATGCTTCCCGTAGAAGAAGAGCCTGTCATTTTCCCAGGTATCGTGGTCCCTAGGGAGCTTGTCACCAGGTTCGTAATCATAGTCTCTCTCTTCTTCCCCGTCATCAGAAGATTGGTCCTCCACTGTTTCGCGCTCAAAAACACGCTTCAAACCGGCAGGCGACGTGCTATATCTCCGAGGACCACCTTCCCCTTCATCACCAACCTATGCAACGACCCGAGGAAGTGGCATGGACTCGAAATCGAAGGTTTCAGAGTCACTCATCTCCTCCATGTCCTCAACGTCGAAAGGGTCCTCCTCGTCGAACTGCGCCTTGTAGTTTTCGAGGGTCGGCGGTTCGACCATCAAGAAGAAAACGTGCTCCAGCCTTTTCAGGAAATTTGAGACAGACTCCCTCGGTGCATTGTGATAACCATTCATCACACCGAGCACCAGGTTCTTCCGTTGGTTGTATTCCAAATCGGTCTGAGCAGGCGGTCCTGGCTGGAAAACGAACTCCCAAACCTCCGTCATTTTCTTCTCCGGCAATTTCGAATACATATCACGTTTGGGATCCTAGTTCCGTTCGCCGGTGGTCTGGACAAAAAAACAATGGTGGCGAGGGTCCCCCACGTGTGTCTTGACGAACTCGCAAAGGTAATCGATCATCTTCGCCTCATCCTCTAACGCAATGACGTTTCGACCGCTGCGAAGGAGCTCCCACACGGCAGACGCGTGCGCCTTCCCGAAAAAAAGAACAGTTTGCCCAACTCTGCAAAAGTTCTCGAGCAGACCAATTACATGAGCTGGATTGCGCTCCCTGTTCCCGTAAGTAGTTCCTCGAACATTTGTAACGCCGCCGTCCTCCCACTGGCTACGAGGGAACTTGTCCTCGTCTGCGACGTCGAAACAGGCCATAGCCTGTCGTGACGGGTCGGATGAACAGGCAACTTTCGAGCGGGCCACCGCCGCGGGTTTGGACGGACTTGGAGCATTGGCACGGGAAGGCTTCGATGGACTACTGGTCCGGAAGACTGCGACCGTGTTGTCTGCCAGGTTCGCGCCATTGAAAACCACGTACAAACGATCATACTCCTCGACCAGCATGTTGCCTTCCCGAACAGTGCCCTTACTTTGTGCATGGCGCACCCACTTCCCTGTCCTGATGTGATGAACGGTAAGCTTGGCCATGCCTTTCAAGAAACTGAGCTCCCATCGAGAGGGGAAGAAGACGACAAGTGCCCAGTGCCTTGGCGATAGGGTTTGGAGAACGCCTTGCAAGGAGGCGAAATCGTCTTCTTGCCAATCTGAGAGGAGTGTGGGAGCACACAAATCGAGGACGTACAAGTTGCTCACGTAATGTCCCACAATCTCGCGGATCTCAATAGGACGAGTGTGAGCCTGGGAAGGTGGACAACTGAAAGGAATAAGGCTGGTCACCCGGTTGATCTTGTGCCATTTGATGTGTCTCACATCCCCGCTCACCCTGATCGTGTCTTGCACTTCTTCCTCTGTTCGTCCCAAGATGGAGCGGACGGACTTCTCGAAAGATTTAGGGAACCTCTCGTCATTGTACATTTTCTTTGTTTCGTCAAGGGACTCCTTCTCGTACGGAAGACATCGTTTGCAAGTGTTGACGTACTCCACCGCGCCGTGGAAATGCTTCTGCAGTTCGACCCACACCTGTTTCGTGAGGCCCCTCGACGCGAACTCCGCCAGAAGTTGCTCCTTGGTCTGAAAAAACTGGCTCCCATACCTCCAAACCTCTGCTTCCTCCTCAGATTCGAGGAACAAGATGTAGTGAAACATGCGGAGCATCATGCGGTCCACTCTCCTCGTTGCCACTATGTCTTCAATTCCTGGCTTATGCTGATGTTTTAGATGTCCGCCCGCCGATTGAACGAACACTCCCCTCAGCGCGAGAATATCGTCGAGGATCGACAATTTTTCGGCATCGGTCATGTCACCGAGAGACTGCCAACAGAATGTGTCTGGCTCCTTCACGACGATGAAAAACTTGTCGTACGATTGCGTTTTCTTTTTGGTTGGAGGCGGCGGGACCCGGCCCAGCCACCCCATCTTCGTTTCACCAGCCGCCTCTTTCGCGCCCATTTCCGGAATCAATTGAAGACCCGGAGATTTGTCTGGCATGTATTTGCCCGGCTTCGACAAGGGCGTCTTCCCGTCTCCGCCCAACAACTTTCCCTCGGCCGATTTGTCGTAGAACTCCATGCCTTTCCGGAAAACCTCATCACCGGCCGTCACGAGCGGCATCCATTGCCTCAATGCATTGCCAATGGCAGCGACGTGTTCCTTGTCGGCGAGCGTTGTCGCTTTACGTGCCATCGTCCAGTGAGCGTCGTTCAGACTCTTTCCCAAAAGCAGCTTTTGGAATTCGAAAAACGCTTGTTTTTTGGCCTCCTTGCCGGAAGGGTTCCCTTGAATGGCCACCGACCTTCCTTGATTTTCCCATGCCTCTCGCATGTCCTCGAAAGCGGCCTTCTACGTACGCTGCTTGGACATCTTGTGTCATGTGTTCTCCGTGAGACTGACCTGCAAATACCCCCGAAAGTCTTCGTCGGAGAACCACACGACCGTCGTCGGCCACGAGTGCATCTTCCACAATTCGAATATCGCCTCACCGGCCAACTCCTTCACAGTAGCCACGGTGTGTTGTCCATTGATAGGGTAATAGAAGTACTTGTCCTTGTCCTCTGGCTTGAAGACATCCTTGTGAACCCTCTCAGCTCTCTTCGGCTTATGCGTCACCGGCTTGTAGATGGGTGCCAGAACCAAAGGGTTTTTCGTCCAGATCTTCCCTTTTTCTTCGTGGAACTGCCTCAGCATCGCACCTTTGATGTCCTCCACACCATCGTGAGTGAGACTGCGGTGATTGTAATATCTTTCACACTGCGGGATGTTGCAGACCCTCCTCGGTCGATGAGCAGTTGAATGGGGAGCTCTTCTCCACGATCGCACCGTCATCGTTCCACTCGTATTCGAGCCACAACACTGTCGCTTCGTCGTACTGCCTACTGACCGCCCTTTCGCCAGCACTCGTCCCCTCACCAGTCTTCCTCCTCCGAGGTTTCTTCTGGCCATCGCCTTCTTCAGCTGTTCTGAAGGTTCTCTCACGGCGACAATGCCTAGACGAGTCGAATCTCCTTCACCCATAGCTTGTCCTTTGCGGATGGTCAAACCGCCAGGCCTCTTCGCTTTCTTACTTGTTGTTGCACCCTCTTGCTTCGACTGCCACTTTTTGACTCCTTGTTCTTGTCCGCCACGCATGCCTGGCGCCCTCTTTCCCGAGGCACGTTCTCCGACTTCACCTTCATTCCAGCCAATCATCGGCTTCGAGTGTCCTTTCATCCTCTTCATGCGTCGGGTTTCGTCCGCCACCTCTTCTCGCACAGTCTTTTGTCGCTCGCGCTTCTTCTCCGAAGAAGTCGGCTCCCCGCCAAAGCTATCTTGCACAGCGCCCATCCCTTCAGCCTCATTCCCTCCAACCTCTTGCCCTGATCTGCCGGATTCTCTTCTCGCCCCATCTCGAATCAAAAACGTGTCACCCTGGCAGATGAACTTGAGGATTTTCGGAGTATCGACCCAGTGAGTCCCTGAGCCAGACGTGTTCCCAGGAGCATCCAGGCCGACCTGCGTCTGAATGCTGCGCTCGTACCCCTTGCCCTAACCCTCAGTGTCGTGAACCACACTCCCGTGCCCCACTGGCGTCACAGGGGTTTCTTGAGCCAAGTTGGACGACCCCTCATGGGCTGGCAGTAGCCGGAAAACATATTCTCGCGGAAGAACCGGACGGTTTCTCGGCCCCTTCAGCGCAAGATCGAGATATTCCACTGGCGGTGGAAGACGCCTGCTTTTGCCATCGTAAAGCCCTTTGAAGTGATGGCAAAGTAGCATGTTCGAGCCGTACCCCACGAAACTCTTGATCGGCACTATCACACCCTTAACACCTTTGTAAGGCAGGCTGCAGTGGTCGTAAAAAATGTTAGTGTGCAGCTTGAGCAAGCCTCCAGACTGTTTCTTGAACAAAACGATGGTACCGAGAGGATGAACGCCGGCTGCTCCCTCAGCGTTTGGAAGGCAAGCAGGTCGCATGAAAACAGCTGGGCGAACAAAGCTCTCCTAAACAACGAAGTCCAAAAACCGTTGTGCATCCCCAGTATGGAAATACAAAGGAGTAGATTGCTGAAGAGGTCGTCCCTCCCCGGAGGCAGACGACTCAACGCTTGTCGATGTGCTCTTCGCGGATGCCATTTCACTCCCGACCCGAGACCAATACGCCCGAGCCTGTACTAAACCGGATGACCAGGAGAAAGCCACAAGGTTTTCCTAAGAGTACAACTGCAATGTGCAAACTAACTCGGAGCTGTGGGAACGAAGACAATACTAGTGTGGCGAAGTGAATTGGGAGGAAAGATAACAACTCCTTGGATAGAGTGCGAAACAACTCGCAATACTGGAGATGAAGAAAGATGCGGCTTATCGTGGTGAAAGTGCGAACGAACTCGGAGTTGTGAAAATGTAAACCTCTACAACACATACCGTATGGTCACCGACAAGTGCGAACTAACTCACAATTATGGAGAAAAAACAACAATTCCAACTCGTAGTTCCGGAAACGAGGAACTCGCGTGCCGCCAGAAAGACTTGGTTTATCTTGAAGAAAGTGCGAACTAACTCGGAGTTGTCGAAATGAAGACCTGAAACACCTTTAACACGCGTGTCGAAAAAGTGTGAACTGACTCGGAGTTCTGGATACGAAGGGCAACAACTCGCAGTTCTCGAAATGAAGAGCCTACATTCAGGAAAGACCCTAATTTCAGGAAAGAGGCGCCTTATCTTCTGCAAATGAAGAGCCTGCTTTCAGGAAAGAGGCGTCTAATCCAAAATTTTGGAAACGAAGACCTAAAACATATCCCGCTTGGTGTCGACAAAGTGCGAACTAACTCGGAGTTCTGGATACGAAGGACGACAGCTCCTACAACACTATGGGTCGCAAAGTGCGAACCAACTCGGCCTTATAGAAGCGGCACAGACGACTGCCTGTACAAATATATATACATATATATATTTGACAAAAAACTGCGAACTAATTCGACCTTATAGAGAGAGAGAGAGAGAGTCGAGTACCAGTATATATCTATACGTGTGTATATATATATATATATATATATCTCAAGTCGACGACCTCACAAGGGACACGTGAACGGAAATCGGGAATTGATTCGTCGTTCAACAAGGGCACTGGCGAGAGTGTATATGTATATATACGTATATACAAACAATATCCAAGCAGCTTTGTAGCGTGCAGGTTCAGCTTTGGCGAAAGGAAATCGAGCTACGAAACGCGGATCGGCTATGGCGGACGGAGGTGGAGGGTGGAGAAAATATCATATCAGAACGCGGGTGGTGCCGATAGCGCTACTTGACCTGTGGAGCTGCGAAACAACAAAACCGGGAATTGATTTGGCTTCAACATGCGGCGCAGACAGGGCATCTGGGAATCTGTTCGGACATTGGACACAGTTGGGACAACTGAAATAGCATTTAGCCTTCGTGCAGCATTCTGTGAACGACGAACGTCGGACGGATATGGACGTACGACGAGCGAACCCGCTATGGCCGAGGGAAATCGAGTTACGAAAAGCGAACCGGCTGTGGCGAATGGAAGTCGTGCTACGAAGACCGAACCCGCTATGGCGGAAGGACGTGGTGGGTGAAGACAAGATATCAACACGCGAGCGGTAGCGATAGCGCGACTTGACCTGTGGAGCTGGCAGACAACAAAAGGGATAGAACGAGGGTGGCAACGCCTTTTATACTTTTCCGCCAGAGGAACTCTCCAGCAGCAGGCCTCGCGTCGGGACCAAGGAGGGTGCGGAGAGGGCGTTTCGATTCGGCGGTTGTTCGCATATCGCACGTCAGGGCCAATAGGATGTCAGGGCCTATAAGACGCCAGGGCCTATAAAACGGTAAGGACAATTGGGACTCGAAAGGTCAGAGGTACCGTAAAATGTTGCTCGTCGATCTACTAAATTCAACGGCACAGATCAACGAAGCCACTGGCATGTTAGAGCCCCCAAATTCTCCGCCAACTCCGGCGTGCATTGATATGACCTTTCCAGAAAGTAAGGGACAGTCTGGGTCATTTTCGCTGTCATAGTCTCGGTTGTCGATCGTCACAATCTGACGTACAAAGTGGAGGTTCTTTACCCCCCCGAGGTCAGGTGCAGTAATCGCACCGCAACCGTTCGTTGCTCGCCGACGCCAGGCGCGACGGTTCGTTGCGCGCCGAGGCACAATTCCGAACGCTCCTGAAACCCGAGCGTGACGGTTCATTGCGCGCCAAGGTCAGCACTGGAAACCGATAAAATATGGTGTGGCAGACATTATGACATTTTGCAAATGTCAACGGCGCTCGATAGCGAACGTCCGCAATCCCTCCATTTTGAACCAATGCTGCGCTAGCGAACGGAATCGCATCCATTCCCGCGCTCGCCATCGCCACAGCCGTGGCATCGCTGCGCACAACTATATCCTCCATTGCAGCGCTGGCAATCGCTATCGCTATTGCCTCCATCGCAACACTCGCCATCGCTATCGGCATCATCGCAGCGCTGGCCATCGTTCTCCATTCTGTTGTCGCGGCATCTCTCTCCATCGCTATCCCTGCCATCGCAGCGCTGGCCATTGTTATCGCTGCCATCGCAGAGCTGGGCCATATCCTGCGCCATCTCTCTCCATCGCTGCGCCATCTTTCTCCATCACAGACTCTCTCCATCTCTGCGCGATCTCTCTCCGCCACTCCTGCGCGATCTCTCTCCATCGCTGCGTCATCTCTCTCCATCACTCTTGCGTGATCTCTCGCCATTGCTGTGCCATCTTTTTCCACCACGTACTCTCTTTATCTCTGCGCGATCTCTCTCCGTCACTCTTGCGCGATCTCTCTCCATCGCTGCGCCATCTGTCCCCATCGCTCTTGCGTGATCTCGCTATCCCTTCCATCGCAGCGCTGGCCATCGCAGAGCTGGGCCATACCTTGCGCTATCTCTCTCCATCGTTGTGCCATCTTTCTCCATCACGAACTCTCTCCATCTCTGCACGATCTCTCTCGGTCACTCCTGCGCGATCTCTCTCCATCATTGCGTCATCTCTCTCCATCGCTCTTGCGTGATCTCTCTCCATCGCTACGCCATCTTTCTCCATCATGGACTCTCTCCATCTCTGCGTGATCTCTCTCCGTCACTCTTGCTCAATCTCTCTCCATCGCTCCGCTCTTGCGTGATCTTGCTGGACCCTCTGCGTGTTCCATATCCATCTCCATCGCAGACTCTCTCCATCGCCGCGCCATCTCTCTCCATAGCACCTGCCCGATCTCGTCTCCATCGCTGTGGGATTTCTCATCGCTGTGAATTCCCACTCCATCGTTGCGTGATCACTCTCCATCGCCATTGTATTATCGCTGCAGTCCACCGTCGGTGCAGTCGCCCATCATTGTGGAATCGCACGAAACAAGCGTTAGGTATGCGTAATGAAGGATTAACACGACGGATCTCTCAATCGACTCGCCATCACTGCACCAGATCTCTCCGTCGCTGCACCAGACTCGCCATCGCTGACCATCGTTCACCGCATGTCAATAGCAATACCAGATCTTTGCATATGTGCGTCATCGCTAACCATCGTTGCGCCTGTTCTCTCGATTGACACGCCATCTTTCTCCATCGGTGCGCCATCTCTCTCCATCGGTGCGCCATCTCTCTCCATCGGTGCGCCATCTCTCTCGATTGTGACATTTTGCAAATGTCAACGGCGTTGGATAGCGAACGTCCGCAATCACTCCATTTTGAACCAACGCTGCGCTAACGAACGGAATCGCATCCATTCCCGCGCTCGCCATCGCCACAGCCGTCGCATCGCTGCGCACAGCTATATCCTCCATCGCAGCGCTGGCAACCGCTATCGCTATCGCCTCCATCGCAGCACTCGCCATCGCTATCGGCATCATCGCTGCGCTGGCCATCGTTATCCATTCTGTTGTCGCGGCATCTCTCTCCATCGCTATCCCTGCCATCGCAGCGCTGACCATCGTTATCGCTGCCATCGCAGAGCTGGGCCATATCCTGCGCCATCTCTCTCCATCGCTGCGCCATCTTTCTCCATCACGGACTCTCTCCATCTCTGCGCGATCTCTCTCCGCCACTCCTGCATGATCTCTCTCCATCGCTGCGTCATCTCTCTCCATTGCTCTTGCGTGATTTCTCGCCATTGCTTCGCCATCTTTTTCCACCACGGACTTTCTCTATCTCTGCGCAATCTCTCTCCGTCACTCTTGCGCGATCTCTCTCCATCGCTGCGCCATCTGTCCCCATCGCTCTTGCGTGATCTCGCTATCCCTTCCATCGCAGAGATGGGCCATATCTTACGCCATCTCTCTCCATCGCTGTGCCATCTCTCTCCATCGCTGCGCCATCTTTCTCCATCACGAACTCTCTCCATCTCTGC